CATTGATACATGAAAACCTTCACAAGAAATCCTTTACAAGAAAACAACAGTCAGCAGTACAGTCAGTACTTGAACAGTATGTGATAACACGATACAAGAAACATCCTCTGGCCCATGGTGGTTTTCACCATGGGATTCTTTCTCTCCAGTGTATTTGTGTTTAGTTGATGCGGCAGTTGATGTGGCAGCCAATGCAGTAGTCAGCAATGCGGCAGAAGCAGATGATGCAGGACCAGTTCTTGGTGGAGCACCATAGTGGTAATGTTAGGGGGGGGGGAGGACCATGGTAAGATTGTTGTTGTTGTTGCCAAGTATTGAACATGGTAAAAGCAGCTCAAAGAAATTCCTTTGCTACTTCCTTAACACTGCCCACAGAATCCTTCCACATCTCACGATTGTGTTCGTCTCTTCTTCCCTCTCTTTTTTCCTGGTTCTTAATGTATTCATTGAATGCAGCAGCGTCAGGGACAATGGAATTCCTCTGCTGCTGATAAGATCTCTTCCCTGGGGTTGATTCAACAAGAGAAGGAGTCAAGTTGCTGGAGGAAGTGAAAGCAGCATAATCCCCTCCTGCTCCTGCTGTTCTTTGCCATTGCCGTCAATGGATGCATCTCTGGCATGAATAATTGACGCTCCTGCAGTTGCTGCTGCAGTTGCCCCTGAAGGCAGCTCTAAACCCTCCACAGTCTCACTCTTGATGAAGACTTTCTTCATATCACAGTCCTCCTCTCCAGTACCAATATTTGCCTTCTCATCAATCAAGATATGGGCCCTTTGAGCCATCTTCATGTACTTGGGCATAGTTGGATTCCCAGTTGAGCTCTTGATCCTTTTAACAGCTGCATACTTAGTCTTGATGGATGTCTTGGTCCTACATAGGCCATCTCTCTGCATGCTTTGCTGTAACTTAGTCCCAGGCCTTAGAACTACTATCTAGAGGGGTCATTTGACCCATTCTAAAAATGCTGAATCTATGACAAATTGCAAATTGTCATAGATTTTTGGTCTRTCTGTCTATCAAATTTAGTATTTCTATAATGGGTCATTCCCGTTAGTCTAGATGGTCTACATTTTGGAAGACAGACAGATGAAAAATAGACCATATAGTCTTAATTTTTAGACTTTCTGTCAACGCTCCACTCCCGGCCTTACAGAAAGTCTAAATCTAGACCAGAATCCAAGAATGAAAATCCGTCSCATGACTCATTATTATCCAATAAAAATTTGTTGCGTGCGCACTTTTCTAGTAGTTAGATTCGTCCAAATTCCTTCGAGACCAGAAAGAGYGCCTAAAAAATGTCCGTTGGGCCCCTGTTTTTAATGATTCCCGTTAAACTGAAAAGTCTATAAGAAGGTCTACTTTAGATTTTTAGACCATCTAGACTAACGGGAATGACCCCATAACCGGAATCACCCAATTTGTGATCAAGATTGATCACAAAAAACGATCACATTTTTTTTGGTGATCAAAACTGATAACAATTTTCCGTACCAGTAGGGGGGCCTGGGAATCTAAGCTTTCCTCCAAAAATTGGAATCGACATGGTTCCTGACTATTACTCCGTACGTACCCGTAGTACTACGTACTACTTTCGTCCACATTTCTGATTCCCGCTTGATTCCTCAACAATCGCGCGTTTCGCGCAAMTCGTCCACGTCATCATGAATTCTTTCCTCTTCCCACGATCTTCCATGTGAAACACAAAAATACGAAGTTCAAACTGCCGATACTCATTCCCCCCACACTCATCGTCATCATCACAAATACTGTATTTCTTTTTTTTTCGAGCACGGAATGCAACTACTATTGTACCGTGCCCGCCACGTAGTACTTAAATAGCGAAGGGTTGAAGATCTGCGGCAGTTTCATAGATGTGTTTTTATTGGCCTCACCGGTCCCGAGCTAAGAGATGATAGGGCGCCTCTTTACGTCGTGGTGACCTTTTTTGATGGACCGATCGATTCATGATGATGCACTGGTTTCGGAAGAACCAAACAAGTGTGCCTTCTAGTCGTTTTCTTTYCTAACGGTACGTACCTCACAGGAGTCGTTCCGGACCCAAAACTTGTGTTGTACGTACTGTACGACACTTTGTTCTACCAAWAGCTAACTTCGTCTAGACTCGATACCCATCACTTTCTGTTTTCTTCTCAACACCTGTAGGAAAAACGAGTTGATAAGTTTTGAAAGCGATAGTAACCATGAAATTCTCTCACGCAACAACTCTCTTGGCCATCGCTAGCGTCAGCACCGYCTCGGCCTTTTCGACGAGATCGGCATCCGTCACTCGATCAACGAAGGCGAGTGTCAAGACGCCCCAATATGCCGTTTCAGTYGATTTGCCCGATTCCACAAACACAGCTGTCCCAGAAGTAAAGAAAGTCCCTGAAGCGACGGAGGAACCTTTTGATATGACCGGTGTTGCATTGAGTGGGCTCGAGGGAAAGGCATTACAATGGAAGGAATCGGATTTCCCAAAAGCTAAGGATCTACGAGCTGTTATTCCAAAGGATTGCTTCGAACCAGAGACMAAGACTTCCATGAAATACCTGAGTGTCTCAGTCATTGGCACTACCCTTTGTTCTTTGTTTGGTGCCAGAATGCTCAATGTGTTCAATCCCGSGAGCGTGGCAAATCTTCCTTTTTGGGCTGCTTATTCGACTGTGACCGGAACCGTCGCTATGGGGTTGTGGGTTCTCGCACACGAATGTGGCCATGGAGCTTTTTCCAAGAACAAAAAAATTCAAGACACTGTTGGATACATCTTGCATTCACTTTTTYTGGTTCCTTACTACAGCTGGCAACGATCGCACGCTGTTCACCATCAATACACCAACCACATGGAATTGGGAGAGACGCATGTGCCCGAAACCGCCTCTGGCCACTCGCTCGGCCTGCGGAATAGCTTGGTTGCAAAAGTAGGAAAGAGTGCAGGGATTAAARTTTGGGGATCCTTACAGGCCTTTTTGCATCTGATCATCGGATGGCCTGCCTACCTCCTGATCGGTGCCACCGGTGGACCCGACCGCGGAATGACGAACCACTACTGGCCCAATCCATTGACCACACCGAAGCAGCCTAGACGAGAACTTTTCCCAGGGAACTGGAAAGCAAAGGTTATGAAATCAGACATTGGAGTAGTGGCCGTGGGTGCTGCAGTTGGAGCTTTGGGATGGTTCAAGGGGCTACCTTTGATGATGGCCATGTACGGTGGACCTCTTATTGTTGTCAATGCATGGTTGGTCTTGTACACATGGTGCGTATTTTGTGTTATCAACYAAGTTGGATGTTATCGAATTCTTGATATTCAGAGAATGGTTCTCGACTTATGATTTGTCCACTCTGCTAACCTTTTTGTGTCGTGCACGTTGATTTTATGTCGAACGTAATAATGATTTTGTCGGGACAGGCTCCAACACACGGATGTTGATGTTCCACACTTTTCCTCTGACAAGCATTCWTTCGTCAAGGGTGCGCTTCACACAATTGATCGTCCCTACGATAAACTTGATCCATTTGGATTCATCGACTTCTTGCACCACAAAATTGGTACAACTCACGTTGCACACCACTTCGACTCGTCAATCCCTCACTACAAAGCCCAAGTTGCTACCGATGCCATCAAAAAGGCTTATCCTAAGATGCATTTGTATGATCCAACTCCAATCCCTAAAGCCTTGTGGAGAATTGCAAAGGGTTGYACTGCTGTTGAAAAGCGAGGCGACAAATGGATTTGGAAAAACAGCGGCCTTGAGCCACTGCTGTAAAAGAAATAAGCGTAGATTCTTTCCCAATCAAATCACCTTTTTGATATGAAATAGAAAAGCTAGATCAATGTAATAACGCACCAATACAGAAATGAGTTGCATTTTAACGATAGAATCATCTACCAGCATGCAATTAACTGTTGTCTAATACGTCGTGCAAATCAAATTGATACGAAGATAGTCGATATTTTGAACATGAACTGTAGAAAAACTATTTCAATGGATTTTTGCCCCAGGGCGCACTTCACAAGTGAAGCTACTAACCACTGTTTCGCAAACCCGATGAGATGCCGTTAATGGAAACGATTAGGGCATCTTGCAGTGTTTGTTTCTCCATTTCTTCCTCGGTTGTTAAATCGTCTTCACGTTGATCAAGTGCACGGAATCTCTTCAATAATTCGGCCTGAATTACATTCAAGGGATCAAGGTACGGAGCGCGGATACTATTAGACGCTCTTTGCAGGGCAACGTGATGTCCAGCAACATTTTCTGACTTGGTGACATCCAAAATAGATTGACGGGTTTGCACCATCTTTTCGCGAACTTCCACTCCGAGCTTTTTCGATTCCTCCGAGTTGACTAGTTGATCGTCGTAGTTCTTTGAAACAGAGAAATCGGTCTTGGAGACAATCATTGCAATCAAATCGATCAACTCACGGAACCAAGGCCACTCGTTGTACATATCCTGAAGGCACGCCAAGTCTTCTTCCGATGCGTCGAGACCAGCTCCAACACCAAGCCAAGCCGAAAGGTGCGTTCGGGTCTGTGTCCATGCAAAAGTCCATGGAATTGCTCTCAAACTCTCGATTCCACCCTTAGGGTTTCGCTTCGAGGGACGACTTCCGATGTTGAGGCTTTGCAATTCGAGCTCAGGGGTTGCCTGTCGAAAGTAAGGGACGAAACGAGGCTCTTCTCTTACTAAATGGCGATAATCTTGACACGAAACATCGCTCACGCGTTCCATTTGCTGTCTCCACTCATCCTTAGGTTCGACGTGCTTGGTAAAAGTTTCTCGCAGAACGGCAGCCGTGTAAATATCAAGGGTGTGTTCTGCAATTGGAATACTTCCATAGTTTTGTGTGATCATTTCTCCTTGCTCGGTGACACGGAATCGACCGTTGATAGTATTCGGAGGGTGCGATAATACAGCACGGTACAGAGCTGGGTTTCCTCCTCGACCGACAGTTCCTCCCTTACCATGAAAGAAGCAAAGCTCGACACCAGCATTCTTAGCAACTTCGACCATGCGTTCTTGCGACAAATATTGGGCCCAGCAAGCTGCCAATCGCCCAGCATCCTTGGCACTATCAGAATCTTTAAAAGCCAAAACAGTAGCAAAAAGAAAAAGGTGTAAGGTTAATTTGTCTGGCAATTTCAAAAAGCTTCTAGAACAAAGTTCCCAACGAACGAGAACGAAAACTTACACCCAACCATAACCTCTTGCTTTCCATTAATGGCACCAACGTAAGCAGGGACGCTAAATAAAGTCTTGAGGCGTTCAGGAGCATTGTTCAAATCATTAAGAGTTTCAAAAAGAGGAGCTACTCGCATCATGTTGCCGTTCTCGGATGTCATACCAAATTGCTTTTGCAACAACATAACCGCCAAAACATCTGATGCGGTTTGGCACTGCGAGATAACATAAGCTCCTAGCGCTTCCGGTTCGAGTTCGGACGCAGTTTGAAAGACCTGGAGCGTCTTTTTGACACCTGCATCGAAATCCATTTTGTTCAACCGTTCACTTGGGAATAACGGACGGCGGCTAGATAATTCCGAGGACAGCCAGTTCACTCGAGCGTCTTCATCCCATTCAGCATAGGATCCGATTCCCAACCATCTTGTAATGGCATCCAATGCGTTGGTGTGTTTTGTCGACTCCTCTCGGATATCCAATGGAACCAAAGTAATGCCAAAAACCTTTAGTCGGCGGAAAATGTCACTCAAMAGTCCATCGGCTACTAGATCATAACCTGTCTCCATGAGCGATTCGTGCATGACTCGCAAAGGTTGGAGCAAATCCTCGGACTTTGTGATCAGCTCRATATCTTCTTCATCAACTTCCCCATCACCGACCAAAGTTTTCGAGGCCGTCGATTCATCAGATTCCTGAAGATTTTCGTTTTCGAGTTTCATTTCAATATCGTCGGCGGTCTTGACCAATCGTTTGCGCAAGTGAGAAATCACTCGTCGGTAGAGTTCCCTTTGGTGGAAAGTGCCAGGAACGGATTTGGCTAATTCGATCATCTTCGGAGAAAATTTGCTGGAAATTGCTAGCTGCGATTCCAGTTCCGCAAAATCCTGCAAATATAAGCGGGCAGCTCGCAAGCGTTGGTGCAAAACGACTTCCCTGGTAACCTTAGGTGTCACGTTGGGATTTCCATCACGATCTCCACCAATCCAACTGGCAAATTTGATGGGGCAAACCTCGAGGGGCAATTTCTTGCCCAAACTGGCTTGGCACTGAGCATTGAGTTTGCGGAGATAATTTGGAACCGCTTTCCACAAAATGGTATCGACGATTGCCAATCCTCCAGCTGCTTCCCTTTGGACAGTGGGCTTCGTGCGTCGGATTTCGTCCATACCCCAAACACTGGAGATAATGCGCTGCAGATCGATCGTTCCCGTGAGCTGCTCGTGTGGCAACAAATCGGGGCGTTCTAGATGCGCCAACAATTCTGAGCACTTTCGATATTTGCGTAGGACGGATTTACGATTGACCTCGGTCGGGTGAGCCGTCAAAACAAATTCTACTTTTTGGTTGCAAAGTTTCTGAAATATTTCTTCCTTGCTTACGCCGTCGGTATCGAGCAAGTGATGTATAGTGCCCTTGATTGAATCTTCCATGTGGTAAAGGGGACCAGGGAGTTGTTGTTTGTTTTCGAGTTCGTGTTGTCTAATCGCTCTCAAYCTATGCTGAACCTCGGCCGAATTTACCAATGATAAGGCAGTGGAAATGTATCTATTCATTCCCAAACATTCCGAAGCGCTCAAGCTTTTGGCGCGTTCGACCATGGTCTCAAGAATTGCCCCGTCATTCGGATTTTCGGAACTGCAAATAGCCAAAGCAGAAATACAGAAAACAATCGATGAGTAATTGCTGYTTTTTTAYTAAAAAGTGGTCGCCAATCGAGTCCAGTGCTTTGCTTACCGCTGCTGTCCGTAGTTAATAAATTCTCGACACAACTCGTGAACCTTTGGGTTTTCTGAGAGGACCAAATCCGACAAGATGTCGGTCAGCATTTCAATGTCTCTCATGAGGGGTGCGTCGTTGGCACTCAGAGTGCTCGATTGCGACAAAGGGATGGAAACTCCCAATGATTCCGAAGCTTCTTGGTCTTGACCTAACACCGTCTGGCCACCGGTGGGATTGTATACTCTCGCTTTCGTCCAGGGAAGGAATTTGCTTCGACGGGCCGTCGCCGCAGGKATGCCTGCCGATGGCGACGAAGACGATTCAACGCAGCCATTGTGATTGGCTAGCAGACAAAGTGCCGCCAATGCCACTGATGATACCTTCATTTATTGATTTGTTGTTGCCCTTGGCTGCTCACTGTTCAATATTGTGTTACGAAGGTACGGTAGAGTAGGCGAAGTGTCAACGCACTCCGATTGCTACCGTTGAAGAGTGAAAATTAGCACCACGACCGGACAAGATTTACCTTTCTCCGACGAGACAGAAAAGATTTTTTCGGGTGTCTCGAAAGTTCACGCCAAAATAAGCTGGGTACAGAAAGCATGGAACGACGTTTCTGCAATCAGGAGAACACAAACAAGTSCTATGATTGGGTGCAATTTCAAAACCCCGGACGAAAATAAATGTACGGTTGGAAAGTGACCTGACGTCATGGGAGCGGCACGCCGTTTTTAAAAATAAATTGGTTTTTCACTCCGACCAAAA